AGAAAGACCACTAAACCCTAAAATATGCTACAGTGCTGGTTTCGTCTTGTTATTATATTCCATGTTACCATTTCATATCATCATTCCAAGGTCGCCCTCAGCCTCGGCGGTGACAGCTTCTCCGAAGGCAACTGCTAAGTTCATTTTTCCTTTTGTTCTGTTTTCCTTTGTCCTTGATATGGTTTCAGAATCTGTTATAATCAGAGCTGCTTCTCTCCCTGGTATACGTACACCATCCAAATTAGGCACGTTCCAACATGGCGGTTGCAACGTGGTGGAGATTCGGAGGCTTACGAGACTCTCTCCGCTTGCACTACGGTAAAAAGACATTCTTGCAACATGCGAATTGCAACACTATTTAAAATTGTTGCGATAGATATATACAACAACAACACTTTTTTGTGGGGTTGCGTATTGAGTATTTTATGCAACTTAAATTGATCATGTGTTGCGTTTGTTCTATTTTATGCAACACATATGCCAAAAATGAATATTGAGTTGCCTAGTCATATAGTTTATGCAACACTTTATCAAATTGTGTTGCAAAAACATTAATCTTACAATTACACTTTTAATACAAACTAATAATTTAAATAAAACAATTTAAAAGGGGACCCTACTGCATAAAAAGAAAAGGAAAAGTAACTAACAAAGAAAAACATCCAACTTGAACCTGAATACAGAAAAAAAGGAAAAGTAAACAAAAAAAAGGAACGCCCAACCCATCCCAACTTTACCAAACAAAGGTCTTGTTACTTTTCTTCCAAGAACTCCCTGCGCAAGATTCAACTTCCAGTTCAAAACAACATGTAACTTAAGATTGTCACCTTTTTATAACATTATTATTTTAACTATAATACGAGGGGATAAAAGTAAAATTCCAAGTAATCTAAGCAAAAGCATGTAACTTAGGTAAAAGTTGGTCCAAAAAGGAATGGGTCAGGTCGAGGAGAATACTCATGCTCGCGAGAATGGATCAGGTCAGTAACCTTATGGTGAGTAACCATGAGTAACCCGTCCACATCAGCATGACATCAGCATCCTCTCTCTCATAGAAAGCCTTTAATTTTTCCCTCTTTAATCTTTGACGGACGATTTCTTGCTCATTTTAAGTCGATTTTTTTTTGCACAGTTAGATCAGATTAATTGTGCTCTTCAAAATGATATCCACTTTAATATATTTTTCGAACAAAAAAAATTGAGCCATTTTTTACCAGCCTATACCATATGGTATTGACTGGTACTGAAATAAAAGCATACTTATGTTTTGAAAAACGTACCATGGTGGTATGAACAAACCAATACTGTAGGATGGTTGAATACATGATAGTAGAAGTATATTAATTGTAATTTACGACTTTTAACATTGTATACCACACAATACCACCCCGTACCAGGGTGGTATTGTATGGTATTGTGTGGTATTTTTTGGTCCTGTAATTTGTTCACCCAGAAATTTGTAGATCCAACAGATCATGATGAACTCGTCTCTTCTGTGCAAACGTTTTCAAAAACGAATTAAAAACGAAGAAGATACCATACAATACCACCCCGTACCAGGGTGGTATTGTATGGTATTGTGTGGTATTTTTTGGTCCTGTAATTTGTTCACCCAGAAATTTGTAGATCCAGTAGATCATGATGAACACATCCCTGCTGTGCAAACGTTTTCAAAAACGAATTAAAAACGAAGAAGATACCATATGGTATGCAGTTGGTACCGAGAGGCCAGAACTTTTTTTTCCTAAAAAAATATTGAAAATTGATCTCATTTTGTAGAGCACAATGAACTCGTTCCATCTGTGCAAAAAAAATTAAAATCCGAGTTAAAACGAAAAAGATATGAGTCAATTAAGAAAGCTAGTGAAAATAAAAATAACCTTTAATTCTGCATCCTTAGATCTGGATTTTCTAAATAAAGGGTCCAGATTTGGTTATTGATGGGTGCATAACTATGGGTTATGCACCCTATCTTGAGCCCATGCTCGCTCCACTTATTTGGCAAATATTATCCGCCCAAAACATGTCAAACAGATAAGATAAAATATGTTAGGTCAAAATTGTCATCTCTAGTTTGAGCACATTTGATATATAAACAAGTGTCGGACATATATAGTTAATAAATACCAAAGTGAACTAGCAGTGGCAGAGGGAGGTGGAAGGGGACCCCACTCGAATAAATTAAAATGGTTATATCTTATCCTACACATCCTATAAGGAGATTCTCTTTGAAAACTCTCTCAAATAAATTTTCCTGGCCTCTGCGCACACTTCGGAAGGTCAACATAGTATTTGTATATATTTAGCTTTTGTGCTACTTTTTTTCCGTCGCTTCTTTTGCAAGTTAATAGAGTAATAGACAAAAGCTCCACCATTTTTATATTATATGTAGGATGTTAGCATAATTAAATACATATTATATTATATTATATTATATTATATTATATTATATTATATAGTATGTTAGCATAATTAGATACATACTAAATTAAATTAAATTAAATTATACTATACTATATTATATTATATGGGTCATACTGGTGTACTCCTGGAGTATAGTATACTCCAGGTACTCTTAGCGAGATATCTCTATCTAGACCATGAATTAAATCGAGTTTTGGGTATGATACTATACCCTAACCTCTTATGATAAACCCCAACCCCCGATTCTCTAAACTCAAACCAGAATTTAGATTTAATAAAAAATACTAATTGACAGTTGAGATTGGCCGGAGCTCAAAAAATACTATCATCTTATTGACAAAACATGTTCCAGCACGATCTTCAAACAACCAAGTAAAAGGGACGGAATTTTGGTGCATAACCTCCTTTAATTACAGCTAACACAAAATTCAAGAGCCATAGTTAAGGGATTCTTAATTTCTCGCAAATTTAGAGGACTTTATCTCATCCATTTCAACTATGATTTTAAATGGTTTAGAAAAACCATATTAATTGAAACTTGCCATAGAAAATTTGAAGAGAAGACTATGGTTAGTAGTTTTATAAGAATTATACAACAACATCAAAGACAATAGTAGTTAGGTAAAAATCTAACTCTACTCTTCTATGTTTTTAACTTCAAGTTCATTCATTAGAGAGAAATAAACGTACCCACTAAAACAATAAAGTTTTAAACCAAATAATGTATCTCAATTTTTGTTATTTTATAGATCGGGATTAGTGGGAATTGTATACAATATTTTTTAATCTAAATTTATTGTTCTGTATCACGAGGAAGCTAGATTTTTTGAAATGAATATTGAGAGATTATTCAAAGATAGTTACAAAGTGAAAGAACCTTTACCTCCTCATCTCATACAAACCGAGAGAACGAAGTTAAATTTTCATATCAAGCTCACCGATTATAACATCATGAACCCATAATTGGGTACATAGTTTTGAAGATTATGAAGAATGAAAGAAGAGCAATATCAAACAAATTTCATAACATGTATGTAAAGTGAAGTTCTTGAAAATGAAAATATCATAATTAAAAAAGTTTTGCCATTAAATTTTTGCATTCAGTGAAATGCAAGAGAAGAAGAAATACTATTCTAATAGCAGAGGTAGTGAATTCCGTGATAGAGATAATGACGTGTATGAGGTGAAATTCTACTATGGTGAAAAGATGTTTCAAATTTCCAAGCATTTTGTCATTAAAATTTGGTTTACAATGAAATGCAGGAAAAGAAGAAGATGCTATTGATAGTGAATATAAAGTTTAATTAATGAAGATGAAGTTGTGTGGAGAAAATACTTTTCATGGCTGAGCAATCAAAAGGAAATTTGCAGTAAATTCTAACATCAAAGAGTAAATTGAACTGCATTTTGAATATTAAATTTTTTAGGAAATGGTTACTTGCATGAGTTGTGTTGTTTAGTTTTGATAAGGATTTTTCCATGAATGATCAAGGCATTTTAAAACGTATAATGTATGTTGTTTCTATACTTTTAGTAATTGAATAATTTGGATTCTTTCATATTACCGAATAAATGATTCGAATAATTACTATAAAGTTTATATAATTGATCCGACCAACGGGCGGGCCCAACTCTAGTATGTATGTACATACTTGTTTAATTTGGGTAGATTTAGAATTTATTATTTCGTTGAATATAGGACCTCATTCATATGGAATTTAATTGTTCTAGTATTATGAAATACACAAAAAAATGAGACTATATTGGTTATATATCATTGAAAATCACCAATTTTATAATTTTTTTCTAAAAAATTATAATTCTACTAAATATATGTACAAAAACCTCCAGTTATATTTAAAAAGCTCTTAGTTCAACAATTTTTTTCTATCAATATACAATTTCTTTGTCATCAAATGTGTAAAACGTTTGTGTGTATTAGATTTTGCTTGGAAACTATTAATTTTAGCTAGTTATTGAAATGTCACTTTTCAATTATGAGTTACACAAAATCTAAGGTACAAATCTAATAATTAATGGTTTGATGAATGACAACTTGAATGAATATTTTTAAGTAACTTTACTTGATAATTAAATACAATATTATAAGATTTTTCGTAAATGGGACCCCACTAAACTCGAACTCTGCCTACTAGGAATCATTGAACAAGTATACGAGCATCCATTGACTCACTCCATGTTGTTGCGGTCAGCGTCTTCATTGTCCAATTATAGAAAATGGGTGAGCAAATAAAAAAAGGATCTGAGAAGATAAACTAAACGATTAAAAATAGAGAGATAAATTTGGTTATGAACTAATATTGGGAAGGAAAGATATTTTTTGGAAAAGATATTGGAAGGAAAGATAAACTTAACTAAAAGAGATTCTTGTGCATATAATGGAACTATACACCTAACGAAAAAAATTCTATGTCAACCATTTTTCCATTCTTCCTTTAATTAACTAATTAAGTGATGAAGCCTTATATTGTGAAGATTTGTCGTGATACTGGGAAGGAAGGTTTCCCCTAAACACTTAATAAGAACCCCTATCGGGAAAACAAAACCTTTCGTCTTTCATTCTTCAACTTTCACGAAATCCCAGTCCTTTCTCTTTTCCAGCCGCCAACAACTATTCAACGAGGACTCTTGTTAACTTCTTTCTTGATCACTCTCGGCCCAAGTTACAAGGTACGGTGATGAATTAATTGATTCCTTGTTTCTCATGTTTCCCCGCGTTAGATTGATTCAATATATATATATATATATATATGGTTTAGGCTAGCGTACGCCCGGGCGTACGTTAGACTACCGTACGCCCATTTGAGTTTTGCTATTTAGATCATGAATTAACCGGAGTTTTAGGCATGATACTATACCCTAACCACTAATGGATAAACCACAGTCCCTAGTTTTCGAACCCAAATCATGAGATTCGTTTAATCTTGAAATGAAAATCAACAATAATTTCGACGAATCAAAACCGTTGATTTTCATTTCAAGATTAAATGAATATGATGCTTTGGGTTAGTGAATTGCGGACTGGGGTTCATCCATTAGGGGTTAGGGTATAATATCATGCCCCAAACTCCGGTTAATTCATTGTCTAAATAGCAAAACTCAACGGGCGTACGGTAGGCTAGGGTACGTCCGGGCGTACGCTAGCCTTTGCCATATATATATATATATATATATATATATATATATATATATATATATATATTCTTTGTTTGATTTGATAGCAATGGCGCCCTCTACTTACACCACATACCAATGAAAAGGAACAAAAAGATTACGTGAGCTCATTATGATTCAGATAAAACTCATTCCCAGTCTCTTCATTCTGAAGATAAACATGATTCGGATGAAACACAGGTGGACGGAGGGAATACACAAGAAGGATTGTCATTTGTAGCAACTTGCGTCCAAATTTTTTGCCACAAAATGCACTCATGTTATCATCATTTTTAGTATATACTCATGTCATCGACCCTTGTCACAAAAGAAGACTGAAAAGATAATTTTATTGTCATAATAGAAATACATTCGTGACAACTCCATGTTGCATCACCATTGCTTTATTAGTGGCTCGCAAAGTTGTCACAAACGCTAACATTTTTGTGATGAAAGGTTGGTCACCAATGAATGCGACTTGTGAAGTTCGTGCTCTCAATTTATCACCAATGTTAATTTTTGAGTGATTACTAAAGTTGTCACCAAATATATCCTTTTGCAATAAAAATGTTGGTCACAATTGACTGCAGTTTGTGGTACGTATGGTGTTTTTGTGATAAACAAACTTGTCACAACAGTATATTGTGAGTGACAATTGACATTCATCACAAATACGAGACATATGTGACAATAAAATTTGTCACAAATAATAACTTTAGGGACAACCAATCTGAGCCCTTGAATTTCAAAATGTGTGTTTATGACATAATTATGGTCACACATGCTAACTATTCGTTACAATTAGACATGTCATAATGGTAGTTTTCGTGACTGGACTACCTCGTCACAAAAAGAATATTTATTGACGATAATGTTGTCACACAAGTATTGATTTTGGTTACGAACAATGTTGTCACAATTGAGTAAGTTATTTGCTCCAACCGCTAAAAGCAATTTGCGACAGAACTTGGCGGCTAATATTTATGTGCCTCCAATTGCAGGTTTCTAGGAAAATGAGCGTGCCTCAATAAAAGAGATATATATATATATATATATATATGGTGCCTTCTATGGTACCCTGGGTGAAATCCGGGGTACCGCATACCTTGAGTATAAAAACGCTATCTAGACCTCGAATTAGCAGGATTTTTGGGCATGATACTATACCATAACCCTTAATGAGTGAACCCTAGGTCCTAATTATCTAAATCATAAACTATAAACCCTAAGATGGTGCATTGTTTTTTGCCTATATTTGGACGAATCATAACCGTCGATTATTAATTTTAATTAAATTGATCTCGGGGTACAAGATTTAGAGAATTAAGACCTAGATTTTTATCTTTAAGAGTTAGATTATAGTACCATGTCCGAAAGATCAGTCAATTCAAGTTCTGGATAGCGCTTTCTTACTCAAGGTATGCGGTACCCCGGATTTCACCCTGGGTACCGTAGAAGGCACCATATATATATATATATATATGTGCCCCTGGTAACTTTTTTGAAGGCATATACTTTAGCCGCTGATCATGAGATCTAATGGCAACTTATTTGCCAGCAAACACCTTTTCTCTGACTCATATATGAGTCGCTTATCAATATAGTTAGGGGCAGTTAATAGACTCTAAAACTAGCTTTATTAGCGCCTCTATATAACGTCTCCTATAATTTTATTTCTAAATATTACATTAAATATTTAATTTTGATCTCCAATGGAACTAAATAAAAAATGATGAAGAACATACGGACAAAAAAATTAGCATTGATATATAATCGTTTAACAATAAGTACCGATACACTGGGACTAACGAGATAAAAAGCATCAAACTTCACAAATGTTGGGCTAATTAAGTATCAATGTGTTCCTATTTTCAAATGACTGAAAGCCTCTTCTCTTCATGTTCAACTTCACAAATATCACCTGGCTTTTGTGCCACTAATGTTGAGCTCGTTTTTTGATGAAGACACTAATGTTGAACTCTTGTGCTTCAGTGATTTGTCTACGATCTGCAAAATTGTCGAACTTCTTTAATGAGAGATCTATAATATCCTCATGCCAATACTAAGCAAGTATTCCGAGAGCCTGATACTATGAAAGGCAAACAATGTCTGTCGCATAAGTAGAATGAAGCAGTTACAATGACAATGAAAGATTAGTAAGTGATAGATATGATTAGTAGTGACGAATTGCAGAAAACATCTATATTTCAGGAGAAAATAAGTTGAGTTAAATTGATGTATTAAGCTATGAAGGTGCATATAAGAACATTAAGGTCACCGAGCTCTGCTCTCTTAGAATATACTTGATATTTACACATGGAAAATCTAGTGCTGGAGTTATAGAAAAAATAAATGCCATTTAATTGGCCCTCCCCTATTAGAGAATCAATGCTTGGGAAACATACCAGGTAAGTAATAGAACCACTCCACATACTCATTAGAAACGTTGCAAAGTTCCACGTAATGCTTCCATACTTGTCCAGAACGTATACAATCAACTTTGGACTCAAGAATGATATATGCTCTACAGATTTGAGTTAGGAAAACAAAGTTAAGAATTCCATTGTTAAGCATACTGTCAATGAATATAGTCACAAAAAAATTGTTGAAGCATCAATCAAAGCATATAGACACCAACCTTTCTACTAACTTCGTCATACGCTTGCAGGAACTGTTTGGGAAGTGGCAAGAACATAGAACATGTCACAGTTAAACAATTAGAAGTCAACCCCTCCTTTGCAACTGCTGCTCATACATACTTCAGAGGGGCAAATTGAACCTAGCAAAAATCTCTAAGATAATGCTAAACAACAAACAAGATCAATAATACCTGATCAAAACATTAATTATAATTTCCCAGATCATGGGATAGCATTGCAATATGAAAACGTCAAGGAAATTAGTAGGATTGTCATCACCATAATCATGTGATACAAACAAATTGAATTCAATTTACAAAGACTTTGTGAGAAGAATACTTACTGAATAGTCAGTTCCCTGGTCATGTGAATCCGCAACTCCGTGATTGATCAATCGAACCCTTTAGCTTAAGTTGCAACAAAACATGGAAGCGATAGGAAAAGATGTAACCCTAGGAAAACAAGAATCGAACGAATCCATCATGTAGCCATGTATCAATTATAAAGGATTTCATTAAAAAAAAAGGGCAAGTAAATAAATGAAGAAGAACGAGAATTGAAAGGATCATACCGCCAATACCATAAAACACCAACACCTTGTAACAGCGGATCCAGAAATTTTACATAGAGTGTCCTTTTCTAAAAATTAAATTGAATTAATAATTAAATAAAAAACATTCGATTTGTACGATATACAACAAAGCACATGAAGTGTTCGTATTTTGGAAAATTTATAAAATACAATCATTGTCTAACAACTGTCGATAGATCCTATCCTACTAGACATGGGGACTAGAGGAGTCCTTGATTGGGTTTAATCGTTAGTTTTTGAAAATAATTGGAGATAAGAAATAGCTTTTTACTAATATATTTGAATTTTAAATATAAGAACAAATGAGTTGTATTCTAATGAAAAATATGTTTACTTATAGTAGCAACCACCCAAATTCAAATCACATAGACTAACATTTAAATATTTTTATTTACTCATACGCAAACTACTACTGGGAGTTGGATAATCACTTTTTCAAATTTTATCAATGTCCCGCTATCATTTAAATATTTTTATCGATATGTAAACTACTATCGTGAGTTGAATAATTGTGTTTCCAAATTTTAGGGGTGTCCCGGAACACCCAAAATTCTCCATGGATCCGCCACTGCCTTGTAATTCATCATCACTAGCAATATCGTAACCTCGATTTTGCTCTGTTTGGAACCCCATTCATTATCATCGAAAAACCTAGTTTTACCCTAAAAAGAATCTCAATCCTCAAGATCTAATGGAACTAGGGAGAATGCGACGGTTGAAGGGAAGTGACTATAGCAAACAAAACCCTAAAATTGAAGAATATTTGAAATTGGATTGGTGATTCTGATTGTTTGATCATGACTTGAAGAATACACGAGGAGTTCTGGCGGGTGGGTACTGGAAGAAGCTTTATAGGAATAGAAGAAGAAAGAAGTCATGCCTTTGATGATGGTGAGGGAATCGTAAAGCTATGAAGGAAAGAAACATCGTGAGGGCTAGGCAATGATTTCTGGAGAAGCCGAGGGGCGGAAATAACGATGAGGGGAAGGGTAGGAATACAAAGGGATGCCAAGTTGCAATTAAAGTGTTTATCTAAAATTCTTTTTTGGGCTAATAATAAAGTCTTATACTCTGATTTATCATAGTCGGTGTAAAGTTATTTGTGGCAGTTGTATTTTCCATTTGATCCTAACATTTTTAACGATTATTCCATGTGTCTTTGAATACTAATTTATTCAAATGAATTACTACAAAACAGCGGCAAATACATATATACCCCTCAATCAACAACGTGAATGCTTTTTTAACAAGTAGAAAACCAATTAGAGGCAAATGGAAATATATAGAGGCAAATAGCTTTTTGTTGCTGTATACTAAGGTTTAGGGGCAGATATAAAAAGTGCCTCCAATATTTGTCGCTATAGCTCACTTTTCTTGTAGTGGTTGCCAAATCTTAAAAAACCGTTGCCTATTTTTCGAAAATGTATTGCAAAAATTGTGAAATGTGTTGTCTAAAGTGGTGTTGCATAAGAGGTAAGGATACACAAATCTTTAAATTGGGTTGCGGAAAATGAAAAACGAGTTGTCGATTCCTTTTGCAACCCCCACTATATGCAACCCCACCAAAAGTGTTGCGGTAGGATTTCGCAACTCTTTTAAGACATTGTGCAACACATTTGTGAGAGTTGCAAGAGACCATTTTTCCGTATTGTGTATGAGGCTCTGTTGGTTTTTAGGCTAGTCCAGTTCAAACCGGTGATGGGAGATGGATCAGTTCTAGCAATAGTTGTCTTCCACAGTTCTAGCAATGGATCGTCGTGACCGGAGATGCTTTAACATTTCGGAGTAGTTCATGGCGTAATTTTAGGAGCCTAATCACTTAGTTAGTATATGAAACAGATGCTCACGTGTGCTAACAACCCACTTCTCTTCTCCTCTTTTCACTCCCTTTCTGTTACTAAACTTCAGCATCCCACCATTGTATTTCCCTCCTGTAATTGAGGCACTTAGTTATCATTTGTATTATAAGTAAACCAGATCAATAATACCAACACAAGTTGAGCAGCGTTTACATGGTATTAGAGCTACCTACACTCAACCGAGTCTAATCCTTCCTCTTCTTCTTCTTCTTCTTCTTCTTCTTCTTCTTCTTCTTCTTCTTCTTCTTCTTCTTCTTCTCGAAAACACAACTTCTATGTCT